CAATAAAATTACTTTAAATTTCAAATATTATTCATTACTCTATTTCTACTACAATAATGAGAGACAACCATACAATTATATCTAGTTTGATTCTGGCATGCAATCACATGAAACATGACAACTTTCACCTGTCGGTGATTGAATATATAAATTTCATAATACATGCTTAATGTATACTCATATAATTATAACTCAACCAGCCATTTTGAAATACGAATAGCATGAAATCAAAATCATTTGCCTCTATAACTATAAGTGTTCTAAGAGGTAATGTCCCGTCTCACACATAGGCGGCAAAATAGATCGTAAACTTTACAGCCTAAGGCGCACGCCTATTTTTGGAGCAAGTGATTTTTTTTGTTTTCGTGTCCAATTCAACTACCGATAAAACTTAAAAAGGAAATAAGTCTAACAAAAATGCACCCTAGCCCGAACCCAACCTATAAATATAGTTTTCTCTATCCACGAACGATGCTTTATTATTTGGAGTATTTTATGATTTTGAGAATTATATCTTGTTGAAAACTTGAAAATATGTATGAAGTTCCTATAAATTTTCAATGTATACATTATTTTGGTCTACAATAATTAAAATAATTTTCAAAAATAAGAAAATGTCTTATTATGCTTAGACTCATAAGATTTGAGGTTTGATGTGTGGGCATTGTCACATTTTTTGCCATTTTAAAACCTTAATAAATATATCTCCAATATATTATATCTACAACTTAATAATACTATTTACTTGTTTTTTATTTTTTAAAATATTAAAGAAAATAATATTTATATTTGTACGGATCACAAAAAACACTAAAATCATAACAGAATTATGTATTGTGAAAAAATCGATAGTTTCTTTTTTAGTTCTGGAAATGAAACTAAAATTCAAATAGAAAAATAAAAAAGAAGAGATATATATATATATAAACATATTTTGAATTGAATTGCACATTTTAAATCTTCTAATAATTGGTAAATGGGGACCCATGGAATAGTGGAGTGGAAGGGCAGATTTGAGTGAGGTGAATAGCGGGGATCACGTTATTTGGTAAACATTAGCATCACGTGTTGGCACGTTCCTCTTAATTAAATGATAAAAAATTCTTACATGTTAGCGAGCAAGATCCACGTTTCGAACAAAATTTCTAATACTCTCGGTGGCTGCTACCGGAAAATTTACGTGTATATTATTAATTCATACTAGAAAATTTTCCCGGATTTGGACATCTTGGTGGGTCCATTTGGGTTGAGGATATCAATCCTAGCCTTGCATTTGCATATGATCATATCTTATATTGTTGCTTCAACCTTATATTATATTCTAGTTTGGTTCAATATTGACCAGAGAAATGTGAACTCGAAAGAAATGGCGAATGTTGACTGCCCAAGAACAATCAATTACTACATATTTTGACACCAAATACGAAGGTAAAATTGATTAATTTCGAGATAAGGTCTTCTTTAGAAGATATACCATATAACTTTTTTATTTATTTGTTGAAAAATTGGAAACTTATTAATTTTCATTTTGATAATACACTATTAATAAATTCATAACTCT